ACTGGGCTGGTGAAGCAAAGAGGAAAAAGAAAGATCAGGCAAAGTGTACCTAGATTTTTAATTATGTTCCACTATTTTCAAAGAACATCTACCTGTTGGTCTTGTTCTTTCAGGCTCCTGCAGCACAATCCAGGACCTGGACGGAGGTGGCTCTGTTGGGACTGAGAAGGCAAAGCATATGTATTTCAAGTTAATCATTTGAATAGTCAAATGACACAGTCCTTGGGACATTTTGCATTAAGTCACCACAAAAATCTTTAACAACATACTATTAATATTTGATAAATCGCTCTGCACAAACAGTGAATATTATTAACCTTGGACAACAGTCCATGACACACTATAGAAAAAAAAAACAGAGATGGACAAATCCTAAACAGTTAATTGGCATGTGATACCTACTGCGCTTGATAGCACCGTTAAGATGGTCCAAAAGGTAGCTTAGCAGTCGCCGGGTACCATCTGGCTCCTGGTAGAGGCTCATAATTTCTTGAGTGAGTGGATTGCCTGTAGAGATACACACAAAAAATCAGTAGGAAACATCGTCTACACATTGAGGATCTCAATCACCAGAACACTGACCACTCACCTTTTAACCCCAGTGTTTGTAACTGAAACAATTTCCCCAATTCGAATGGCAGAACCCGCAACTGGTTGTTATTTAAAAGCAGTTTCCTGTTGGAAACCATGAAACAAATGTTAACTAACAATACACCAATCAGCTGTGTGTTTGATGCTCAGAGAAAAAAAAAACCTCAATAAAATATTTTGGCCCAGTGCATTATCACAATTTTCATGTCATATTTGTGATGACTAAATAGTGACACTTTTTTTTAACAATTAACACCATTTTTACAGCACATTATATTTGGTACATTTTACATCCAGCACAACACTTGATTTAAAAAAATGTCATAGAAAATTGTTGAAATTAACTATAAATAATCAAAACTTCAAATAAAATCAAAATATATTTTAAAAAGCACAGTGTGTTCCAATGTGCTGTAAAATTTCAAAAACGTAATAAAACTAGAATACAGCAAGATACAATAACAGAAGGAAACAAATAAATATGTTAGAAAAGGAGATTAAAAGAAGTAATCAAATTAAAATCACAAATACATCTGCTCAAAACTAATGGTCATTAAAAACAGTGCCTAATGTTATCCATGAAACTTCATTTAAAAATTGTTAACAAATCATTTTATGATGATTGAACTAACAAAGCGATTTCTAGGTGATAATGATTAAAACCTTTTATTGACATTTGTAACATTGAGATAAGGCCTGGAAATCACAACTTTAAAATTCCCTGACATTTCCATGACTGTGGAAACCCTGTCGGGAGTGATCTACTTTCATCAAGTGCACTCATGAGAACATTAAGGACCTTTTTTAATTTTTCCCCCGTTTTGCAAACACATTAAATGGAACAAATGATCCATGGAAAGAATAATGCAGATTTTTCTCCAAGTAGCTCACCTGAGAGACACCATGTTGCCAAGCTCTGCTGGCAGGCTCCTGATCTTATTGGACGACAGGTCCAAGAACACAAGGTTGTGCAGCTTGGCAATTTCAGGTGGGATGCGTGACAGGGAGTTGTCACTGAGGTGCAGTGCAGTGAGATGCGTGAGCGACCAAAGGCCCGAGCTGAGACTCCGAACATTACCTGAGACATAAACAAATTTTCTTTAGTATGTTTCAGTTTCATTGCAGAAGTGATCTGAAGTTGAGATATCTATCAAAGGTTTTACTTCGAGACATACCAATTATTTCAAGCCCATCCCAGATGGATTTTTTTCCACTTTTTGCCTCCTCACTGGACATGATAGTGTACATCCGCCTGGAATCAGGCAGGTCATATTTCTCTTTGGGCATCCCTAGACCACTGTGGGGGACAAATACATAATCAGATTTATAGAACAAGACAAAAATGTTTGCATGTCATGATTTAGCCGGTTTACAATCCAAACAAGAACACAGTTTACACCGGTTTATTTTCTGAGATATATAATACGTATAATGTGCATATGCGAAAACTAGGCTTATATAGCATTTCCTGGATATTGTGTATTGTTGCTGCTGTCTTGCAAGAAAATTTCCCCTTAAAGACTAAAAATGTTCTATAAATCACTCTAATATGCTGACATTTAATACTATCAATGTTTTTGCAGATAAATATTGTAGTGAGAACTTTGATACATTACCATGTAAAAGTTTAAAATGTAAAAATGGTCACAAATGTGTTTATTTATATACAAACATATAATTAACATAAAAGTAAAAATAAAGAGGCAGCTAAATGACCTGGCTAACTGGAACTGTCAAAACAAACGTAACTTGATAACTACTAGCTCCTTACAAGACCAAAACACACCTGTTACACACACACACTTCAACGCCAATTAGAAAATAAACAAGTCTAATAATGTTTAATTTTCATAATTATACATCGATATTGTGCATGTCAAATGAAACAGGAAGTAGACATGCAACAAAGCGCCCAAGCTAATAAACAACTAGCTCTGTGCTATGCTAATGACCCAATTAAACTCATCAATATTCTAAAACGCGGCCTCCACAGAGATATAACATGAAATATCATATTAGTCATGTACTTTTAAAAAGTGATAAGCATCCAATGCATCCGTTTACTAAAGAGGTAATATTTTCCCACAGCTAACCTGACTTGCTATCAGCATTAGCCACAGGCTGCTGAAGGTGCAGCCTTCTAAAAGATTTATATCTTAATTAACACGTGTATATGGGTTATATAAATTGATATTTAGGAAACACTGTGCACACATTTTAAGAATAATAACGATTTTATATAATATTCTCTGCATATGTACAAAGAGAGGCTAACTAGTGTAGCTAGATATAGCTAAATTAGAAACAAACCCAAACGGGGACTCCAATCAGCAACAGATCTTTAGAAATAATGTTTCAGAATTACCTTTAATAGCATAACAACTCCTGAAGTCAGCTGTGTGTCTCACTTCGGCGTTAATTCATTCGTTTGTGTCGTCTGTGCAGCTACGGGAAGCAGCGCAGCATCATGGCGGAGGGTTTTTGTGCAGCTGTTGTGCTGCTCTCCAAAACTATGGAAGCAGATTAGATTCAATAATAAAAATTCACGCAAAAGACACGATGCACACATGCATATCCCAATTCACATGCATGAAACCCAATTCACGTGCACGAAAAATATATATATATTCACAAAAACCAATTCACGTGCACAAAATAAGAATAAATATTCATAAAATACGTTTCTGAATACAATTCATAAAATGCAAAACCCAATTCACAGATGTACAACTCTGTACAAAAATGTTGAATGTTTAAAGTTCACTAGTTCATCATGGACTGTGAATGTGTGAATCACCTTGGATTTGTGTGTGTATTTTTGAGAATTTCTCAAGTGGTACTCACTGCAGTGCAGAGTCAAATGACTTCCAGCTCCACCTCTCTGGACATCTAATGGGGTGGAGGGAAAGTTGTGGGTAAAGTTAGGGAGTCTGGCTGGATATTCTAGCTCCAATCATTAGGCACAAATTACATTTGCTCCTCCTCGCTAGACGTCTAGCAAGGAGGAGCGAGACGTAAGCTCCACCCATTTACTCTGCAGTCTCGAATTTCTTGCCAGCGGAACTCCTCCCACGCGGGACACTCGTACTCTTTAGTCAATCAGATTTGAGCCTGTCTATCGACCAATCATAAACCACTGTGGGCGTGCCTACCTGGATATTACGTCATCAGCGTGAGACCACAGTTCAAGAGTACAAGTGTCCCGCGTGGGAGGAGTTCGCTGCCAGGAAAGTCTCAAAAATACACAAATCCATGGCGAATTTTAAATATTCAATTTTTTTGTATACAGTTGTACTTCTGTGAATTGTGTTTTGCATTTGTGAAATGTATTTTAAGAATGTGTATTCTTATTTTGTGCACGTGAATTGTTTTTTTGTGAATATATATATTTTTTTTTCTTGCACGTGAATTGGGTTTCGTGCATGTGAATTGGGATATGCATGTGTGCATCGTGTCTTTTGCATGAATTATTATTGAGTCTAATCTGCTTCCATACAAAACAAGGGTCCATGTGCCCATAGCATGCTGTTCAAGTCTCAACCCCTAGTGAGCCGCCTACACAGAGTGCACCTGTGGTGCTCAGAAATGTTGTCTAGGTATGCAGCTCTTTAGGATTTGAGACACGGCCATTCTTATCCTACCAGTTAATTCCTAACGTTGTCTATTTCTGATAAGTTTTGGAAACAACGTGTTCTAAACCAAACTGATATAGCATGTGATTTTTCCATTTAATAAAACTTTATATTTGTTTTTATGTAAGAGATCATTTGTACTGAATGTGCAGGAAATTACTGTTCTACTATTATTAGGTTGTGATGCAGCTTTGAGCTATTATTTTGCCATTAATTTAATAATTAACAATAAATAAGTGAATAAATAAAATCCTAATTTTCTTACTGTTAAGGGATTAAATAAATTATTATACCCAGAATTTGGGCAAACTATTCATTTCTGTACACACAACCATATAAAGCTTTCATTATTTTATTCCTAAATATAAATGAAATGCCACACAACTTCATGAAAATTTTAGAAGCAGATGCACAGGAATAAATACAAGCAAACTGTCTAACAAAAATCCCACACACTGATATAGTTTGCGACTCATGTTTTAATGCAATGTTTAAAAGCAATTCCCAGTGAAGGTTGCATGACTGAAACCTTGTATTAACATAATATTTGAAGGCTATAGCAGTGTCTGGGTCCAGGATTCTATTTTTGTTAGACTATTATTTTTGTCTGCCGCAAATAAATATATATATACACCCATACTAAATGTTTAATGACTTAAAGTAACACTGGATGTTATGTGCTCCTATAGATGAGATAGTAAATCCATGGGGAGAGCATAATACTACTACTACTAATAACTGCTCTAGATTCGTTTGCGTAGTAAACACAAATTGTATAAAAAAATTTTTATTTAAAACAACTGTCAAAACAAAGCTATTATAAAAGGTTTAATGACTTGAAGTAACACTCGGCATGTCAGTTATGTGTTCTTGTAGTTGGGATAGTAAATCCTGCATTTCCACGGGAAGAGCATGGCCAATGTCGTCCGCTGCACGTGACTGGAAGGCGCCTGTTGCCTCTTGCACTGCTGAGCATTTCACCCGATCTTCCAGTGTCCAGATCGGAGCATCTCTTTTATCAAAACGCTCTGTGATGGGGCAGCGTAGATGCCCTGGGGAACAAAGGTTGTAAGGTCAGTTAAAAACTACAATGTAAACCTTATTTGATTACTTGTCGTCTTTATGTCTTATGTTATGTCTGAAAAAGCTGTGTTAGCACTAGTTCGCTACCTGTCACAACTTCTTCATAACTGAGCATCAGCATCCACAGAAGCTGAAGGAGTTCATCCCATTTCCTCCACTTCTCTGCTCCATCCTGGCACACCATGCAGGAAGAGCATATGAGTTCAGCTGTTATGTAGAATAAGAATGCAAAATGTTAATTTGTAATAAAATAGTGCAATGATGCTTTACAGAGGGGTCTGAGGCCAGTGTGGAGCTCTTGAGGTAGTGTAGCAGCAAGTTTAGAGATATGGGCTGATAAGTCTCATCCAGCAACCGCGTCAACAGCTCGCATCTCAGCAGCTTGCTATCCAGAGTCCTCAACAATAAAAGTCTAGCACACAACGAGAAAAAAAGCATAATTAGAAATGTACATAAATGCACTGTTACAATACAAACAGCAGCAAATCCTCTTCATTTAGAGAACATTCAATAAAGCTCTAAAGATTGGAATATGTAAAACAGTGCAAGCACTGATTATATTGGTTCTCTTTTTCTTTTTTACCTTATCTGTCTGCAATAATGCATTGTGTTAAGACAACTGAAGAGTTCTACTGAAATCTTTTCTGAATTGTAGGTGGGGTTCTTGTCCACCTCCAGGGCCAATGTTAACATCCTCTGAAGAGATAATACAATCCTGTAACAAAGAAAGTAAATGTCTTGATTTAGCAAAGAAAGAAAGAACAATCCAAACTGTTTTTCACAGACTGTTGTTGCACGGCAAAAATATATCACTGTTAGAAATGTTATGTTACACTACCGTTCAATGTTTGGGGTCTGTAAGATTTTTTTCATGCTCATCAAGTCTGCATTCATTTGATCAAAAATACAGTAAAACAGGAAGAGTGTAAAATATTACTACAATAAAGAAAATCCCATTTTCTATTTTAATATTTTTTTTAAATGTTAAAATGTATTCCTGTGATGGCAACACTGAATTTTCAGCAGCTATTATTCAAGGCTTCAGCATCACATAATCCTTCAGAAATCATTCTAACATGCTGATTTGCTGCTCGGGAAACATTTCTTAAATATCAATCATAAAAGTATTTTTGCCACTTAATATTTATATGCTAATATGATCGTCTTTTTCAGGATTCTTTGATTAACATAAAGAACAACATTTATTTGCAATATAAATATTTTGTAACATTGAAAATGTTAATGCATTCTTGCTAAATAACAGTAATTTCTTTTTAAAATCTTACCTTACTGACTCCAAACTTTTGAACGGTAGTGTATAATGCTAAAAAAAAACTTATCACTTCATTTACTTAAGATAGTTGTCCTCTTTCTTTGGATATTCCATATCTTTTGAGTGGTTCACTGACTCCTTTGCAGCATTCATCAACCAACTAATTATATCCCTAAGAACAAGAATCACAATAATAATTACATATATTAAATGAAATAATTACATAAATAATAATGTGCCAAATTAAAAACCAATTGCAGATTGCAAAAAAAGCTCCAGCAATAATGAGTGTCACTCACTTGACTTGCCCAATTGTTTCATTGCCACATGAAAGCATCTTCTTTGCAACAGACTGATGAAGACAATGACTCCTGAGTTTAAAATGAAAATCATCTTCTAAAACCTGCAACACGTATTGCAGGAGCAGGTACTGGACCTCCGTCCGCAACCTCCTAGTGTCATCCTTAAGACAGGAATAATGATGCGTGGCACGTTGAAAAAATAAAAGCATTACTTCATTATATTTTTAATATTACTTAATTATTATTATTTTTTAGTTCCAAATGTATCTACCTGTTCCTTCATAACTGACTTCATCAGTTCCCAATCCCATGGGACTGTCGAAGCATGCACAGGGTGGTACCTTAACATACAAAACAAACAACTTATAAAAGTTATCATGAATAATAAGTTCTACACATTTATTTTTTTTGTGAAGTGGGTGGATATTTCATGTTTTGGAGCACATGCACAACTTACCAGGCTACATTTCTGATTTACACTTGACTTTTTCATGAAAAATTTAATTGTTCATAATCCCATAACTGTTTTGAACCAAGCAGCTACAGCTGTGATTACACTCACCTCTGAGTCTTCATCAATAGGTCATAGGCCTCTATGACAAAAACATCAGGGCTTTGTGGGTTTAAGAGTATCCCCCTGAGCAGATGTGTCGTAATATCCACCGGTGGGTAATACCGAGGCTGAATGAAGTCAAAGAGCAGCTGAAGAGTGCCTTCTGGGTAATTCTCCTCAATGGTGCTGTAGACCAAGCTAAGGCTCTGACGGCATAGAGGCTCAGCGGGACCATAGTGTTCATCTTCCTCATCGTCATCCTGTTAAAAACAGAAAACAACTGACTGAAATCTATTTTGCTATGGATATTGTAGGATATTCACAAATGTTATGACATCTTCAGGGTGAGACTCAAGGGTGTGTCTTGCTGCAATTTTGGTCCTAAGGGCTGAAGTAAACACAAAAGACTGTATCATTCATGTTAAAATTATGTATGCACAGAGTAACAATTTGAAGACAACCACATTATCAATATTTTGTCAATTAAACAGATACTCCACCCAAAAATTTAATTAATTTACTCATCCTCATGCCGTTCCAGATGTATATGACTTTTTCCCTTCAGATGATCATGAAGATTTTTAGAAAAATAATAAAATATCTGTGAGTCCATTTGGGACCCCCAAAGTTAACACTACAAAAACCATACAAAGTGAACACAATGATAATCTATACTACCCCAGCTGATGAATCAGTGTCTTCTGAAGTGAAACAATAGGTTTGTTTAAGAACCGATGTATGCATGTTGTGAAACAAGAAGTGACAGTCCTCTGTGCTTTCGCATCTCTTCTCGCACGAGTTTCACATGGCTTCTTTTTCTAAAAATCTTGTTTCTGTTCATCTGAAGAGCAAAAAGTTATATACATCTGGAGTCAATGATGAGAGCATTTTGGGGTATTCCTTTAAATCAATCTATTTAAAAGTCAATGTGCATATCAAAACATCTTACCATGTGTGGAACCATTCCACTCATGCACTGATTCAATTTTTTGTACTGAGTCAGACAAATATGTTGTCTATCTTCAGTGTTGTTTTCAGAAAGATCTGACTCCACATTATCCAGCACATTTTCATTGCCATCATCGCTGCTTGTCTCCCAAAACCTGATGGGAGGGCTTTCTAGAGATCCTGCATCTAAATAATTTCTCTTTTGCTCTGTTCTCTCTGGAAATTTTGGCGAGGAAGACTGAGAAATGAGGAGGCTACTTGGTGAGCTTAGCGTAGACTGATCAGGGGAACGTGCTGCTGTGTCACTGGCAAGAATCTCTGTGGATGTGGGACTGTTGGGTTTACTAAGTCTAGACAAAAGTTCAGAGCTCCAGGGGGGCGATGCCCTAGATGAGGTAGGTATGGAGGGGGACGAAGGCTTGGGATGAACCTCATTTTTGCTGATATTCATCGTTTCACCATCCTCTTTTAATGAAAGTGTATTGGATACTGATGCAGTATGAGTAGCAGAGGGTAGCTCAGAGGTTTGAAATGACTGTTGACTGTTGTATGTAAACCGATGATTATTATCTTCAGACTTATTGGATGAATCAGAGAATATATAAGCATCTACCTCACTAGGACAGTAATATGGACTGTCAAGATTGTAAGGAGAGAGAACAGCGTCTTCCCATTTCTGCAATGAGTCAAGATTGTCTTCTTGGTCTGCTTCTATGCTGCAGACAGCTGGTGTACTTAGCTGTGTGTCTTTAGTGTTCTGCGATACATCTGCAATAGAGTCCTTCAATACTTCAGATTCATATTTGAACGGATTTTTACTTGTATCATTGGACCTGCAATGCTCCAAAGACTTATCCCAGCTCAGCTGCTCAGACGGCAAGCTTGAATTACAATTTGTGTCCTGAAGCAAATAATCTTCTGTTCTTTGGAGCACGTCTTTGAGAGTGTTCTCCTGACTGAGTGACTTAGAGGCAACAGACTGCACACTGCTTCCTACAAAACACCCTGAATTAGCCACATCTTTCCCAACGCTGGTTTGAGATTGTGATTCTTGAGCTTTTCCAAAAGATGCCAGTGTTACATGCACTTTCATGCCTCTGCTTTCTACTGACGGCAAAGTCGGCAATGGTTTCTGTACGTCAATATCATCAGGAGGATTATCTTCACTCAGATCTATAACTTCTAGGGAGGAGCATTTATCTTTTCTTGAGCACCTTCGCCATGGAGAGGTGAAGTTGTGGCCTGTGATATCGATGAGGACCTGAGACAAACAAATAATGAGCAAAGTAGGTGAAACCAAAAGAAATAGTGATAGATCGATATGGACATTTCTATGGCTTATGCCAGTACTGATAACTATAGAGCAGGTGACTGATGGCCAACATGTAATGGATACCAAATAGATAATAGATCAAAGTTAAATATAATAACAATGGTTACCAAGACTCCTTGAAGGAGTTCTTATTTTGCAACAATGGCTGACTGCTGTACATTATCCTAGGTATTACACCGCTTTGTATGCAAATAAATACATACATAGATATTAAACATTGATGAAAGTTTAAATAATTGTATTAGCTTACTTGCACAGACCATGAAGAGAACGAGCATGAGCTCAGCTCAGAAACACAGGTTACCCGGATGAGCGGTCAGTTAAACCTCGATTGGCCAATCAGAATCGCTTATTCCTGAGAGCCGCGTAATAAAATGTATGTAGCCTCGTGCCTGTGAAACTGGCTAATAGCAAAAGAAACTCAAAATAGTTCACTAAAATATTCACCAGTACCAGGTTGGTATTTATTTCTAACACAATGGAAAGCTAATAGGCTTTATGGTAAGATATAACAATGTAATCTTTTAAACGGGCATCAGTCGATTTATCGATTAACATAGCTTTAATATCAAATTAATTGAAAATGAAATCTAAAATATATAGGAATCCGTGTATCATTCGATCATTAGTTTTTTGATTTAATATTGAAAGTAGAAAAATGAGAAAATGGCTCCTTTTTCATTTTTTTGTTTTTTTTTCCATAAAACGAAAAACGAGAATTCAGCTTAAATTTTAGTTTTTCGTTCATGGGTGGAAAAATTAATAAACAGCTTGAATATTTGATTTCTACATGTGGGTGGGAATTAAACGCCCCTTTCTGCTGATTGGTCAGCCGAAGATCAAACCGTGCCGTCATCAGTTCTTCTGCAGTATCACGCAGCAGAATAATAGTCCTCTGCTGCTGCAGTTGTACGGATTAATAACCCATTTTATCAATTTCATATTTTTCTCATCAAACAGACTAATGAATATCTCGACACAACTCATACCGGGGCAGAGTCTAGACAGGGCTTTCTTCTGTGTAGACCAGCAGTTCTTAAAGTGATCGGGGGGCCAATAAATAATATAGCCTTAATATTGCTATAGCCTAAAGTATTTCCAGACTGTAAAGTCGCTTTTTTTATCATGATACATAGGCCTACAGTGATTTATTCCAAAGTGACTTATATGATGCATTTAATGTAAAATAATCTAAATGAAGCCTTTTAAAAGACGAGTATTCCCTGTGGTTCATGTTTGTGGCATGCGCCAGAAAGATGCTCAGCTGATGCAAAGAATAGAATTTATATCTACACAGAAGAAAACCCTGTCTAGACAATGCCCCGGTACGAGTTGTGTCGAGCTATTCATTAGCCTGTTTGTTTGATGAAAAAAAGATTAAATGTAGTTGCAATAAATGCGTTAAGAATCCATAACTGCAGCAGCGGAGGACTATTATTCTGCTGCGTGATACTGCGGAAGAACTGATGATGGCATGGTTTGATCTTCGGCTGACCAATCAGCAGAAAGGGGCGTTTAATTCCCACCCACGTGTAGAAATCGAATATTCAAGCTGTTTATTCATTTTTCTACCCATGAACGAAAAACGAAAATTTAAGCTGAATTCTTATTTCTCGTTTTTTGGAAAAAACGAAAAAGGAGCCGTTTTCTCATTTTTCTACTTTCAATATTAAATCAAAAAACGAATGATCCACGGATTTATAGGCCTAACATGCAATAAAATATGATTTACTTGTATCCAAGTATTTAAATTATATTCATAACTTTTTTTATTTTTGTTCTTGAAGGTTGTTGTGCTCTGTAAAGTGATAAAAATATCTAATATCTTTTAAATATCTCGAGTAACGTCACCTGTGCGCGTGCCTACGTCTCCTGCAGGCTGCAGCTACGGTTCGCGCGCGCCATTTATAAAAAGCAAAAACCACGTGCGGTTGGAAACAAGTGGACGTTTACGTACACTTTAATCAAATATGCTTTTTGCATATGTAAACCACACGAAGGTTCTCGTGTTCTGCGTAGGAACTGATAAAAGTGCAAGCGGCTAAAAACAAGCAAAACGTGAGTACGATACAGAAAAACAATTCTTGAAAATAGCAGGATAAACTTACAGGTGTGACGGGCAGCCATTGTGCTCGAATGAACGGAACTGCATCTTCTTTCTCTTCATTATAACTGCTTATGACCTCTAAATCAGAGTCGGCGTCGTCGTCGCTGCCCGAGCTGACACAAATAATATCCTCCATAATCCTGCCTCACCCTGTCCCATTAGTCATGTTTGTGCTGACAGAGAACAATCTTGAACAACAAAAATAGTTTGTCCAGGAGAGAACATTAATCGTAAAGTTATTGTTAGCTATTGCTTTCAAACAAGCCTCTACGAAAACAAATAATCACGTAGGTAAATGTCAATATCAGTGTCACATAGGTGGAAATGTTTTGGTTTACGAAGGAGGAACTTCCGCAAGTGGAATATTCCCCAATAGTATGTTCCTGCACAACAGGAGGCTGCAGGTCTAGGACCCTATTCTTTTGTAACAGCGCCACCTTCCGAATTGGATCACTAAAGATGGACGACATGGACAGCAATCAGAGTGAGTAACTTTACCGATTTTCAATTAAGTTTTATTTTATAACCTTAAAACGATGCACGGTTTACGTAGCCAACGTGAGAACTGCTAAGAAATAATAATGAATTCCCGATTGCTCGTTTTATTGATTATTACGATGTTCTTAATTCGTGGCCATGCTTTAATTAAGCTAAACCTTGTTGACATAATGACTACAATAAGTAAATGTAGCCAGCACGTTAATTAAACTTAATGATTAAAGCATGTTGATGTGAGATGTGTCAGTTTACCTGTAGCTTACTGTATTAGTGTGAAAACTTGTTTGATACTCATTGTTTTAGCATATTAGTTAAGTATAAATCATCTTTCATAATTAAACTGGGCTCATTGCTTGGTTGCACCACAATATGTATTATTAGCTTGTCCTTTTGGCAGTACTTTAGATGAATCTGGTTGATGTTTGAAAGGCATGGTCAGCGGTTTGCCTTGCTCCAAGGAGCTCTTCAGCCAGTCTACAGGGTGCTATCTCAGAGGAGATCCACATCCAGGCTGTCGATGAGCACACTGCAGAGGTAAAGAGACTGCTGGACCTCGTTGTGAAGTTACAGGGATCTGAGGAGCATTTAGTGGTATTTAAACAATGTTCACATTTAATCATTACAAACAAACTCATAGTAAATGTTCACCAAGGGCCTTAATTAGGATTAACGTTAACAATATATTTTAACTATGCTGCAGATTATTGTATCTTTATCTTAAATGTATCAATTTCCTCAAAATAACTGTTTTTGCACCATGGATTGCCCGTAGGGTGTACTCAACGGGAAGCCCTCTAAGTGGTCTCATAACCTCTTCCCGAGTGCCTGTCTACCTCGACAGTGAGGAACAACTGTCCAGTTTGCCGATCTGAGAGGAGTGCTGCATGGGACACCAACACAACAGCTTCACAGATGAAGTGCAGAGGTATGCCGGACCATGTAATGTGTTTGTGAGTGTCCTGCTCCTGCACTTACACAATCTACTGTATAAACTGCATGCTGGTGCTACTCGTGTATGGACCAATGTGTAATGGCTTGCTGTTCAGTAGTGCTATAATAGTATACTTAAATTAACTGCTTTTTCATAGGCCATCTCATATGCCCTGGCTGTCCTACGGAATTTCTCATTGTAGGAGGCTGAGCAGGTCTTCCTTTCTGGTCCGGATTATTATTACAGGTCAGAGTAGAATATTAATTATTTTTGCACAATGCCCAGTGCACCTTTTGTTACTGATATTTCTGTTAACCCAACAGTGATTGTTCTCTG